GACGCGTGGATGCCTATTGGTCCCGGTTGGTGCCACCAACCGGGACCAAAGGGTCTCCTGCCTGGGCTCCGCGCACAGGCCACGTGGAGGCACATCTGTCCCGGTTCTGGATTGAACCGAGACTAAAGAGACGGGGCATTAGTATCGATCCTTTAGTCCCGGTTCAGGAACCAGGACAAAAGGCCCTTACGAACCGGGACAACAGACCCTTTTTGTACCAGTGAGAAGCTGCAGCCATGGCTGAGAAATGATATGTAGAGGACGCAAACAACCAATTGGGGTGTGGGAAAGAGGTTGCCTATAACCTTGTGGCTATAGGCACCCGCATGGAGAACTGGGAGGTGGGATGGCGCCGACTGTTCGCCAGCGGCCGCCGCGGGGAGGGCAGTGGGCCTCCTCTCGTGTTCGTTGAAAATGCGGTGCGAGATCTCCAGGGAATTGGGGTGGAGGAAGGGAAGGGCCGCGACGCGTGGCTAGGTCCTGCCGGCGACGAGGGAGGGAGGAGCCGCGACGAGCGGCTAGATCCCGCCGGCGACGAGGGAGGGAGGGGCCGCGACGAGCGGCTAGATCCTACTGGCGAGGATCAAAACCGTAGCGGCGGCGAGGCATAAACCCTAGCGAACGGGATAAATATCAAACCGAAAATAGCTCTCAAATTCATACCAAGAATACCCTCCAAATATTTGGGAGGGAAAAACAGATCAGTTCGAAATATTTTTTCTCTCGAAAATGTCCCTCGGGGTCTGATATAATACACGTGACATCAGTGTATTGCATCGGATCTGGACCGTCGATTTCGTTCTGACGGACGGTCCATATCATCCGGATGCACTGTAAAATGACTCAAATAACTGGCAAACAAAGCCGTGTGGTTTCTGATCGGGTCAGCATCGTCGGGCTATTGATCGATCCAGCTCACGTACAACCTTCCTCCCTTTCTCTGGTCCAACCATCCTCCTCCTACCCATCGACGAAAGGAATCGACGGAATGGAATGAGAGGATGTCATCCTCCTCCCAGTCCCAGTGGCCTATAAAACCCACAACTTGCACCCGGCTCGCCTCACACAAACACACCAGAAATATAATACCGGGTGCAGAAGAATTCAATCCCAACCCAACGATGGCGTCGAGTCCCAGGAGAACAGTCGTGTGCTCGGTGCTGCCACTGCTGCTGCTGCTTGCCGGCGCGGCCCGCGCGGCGGGTAACTTCTACCAGGACGTGGACATCACGTGGGGCGACGGGCGCGGCAAGATCGTCGGCGGCGGCGACGTCCTGACGCTGTCCCTCGACAGGGCCTCCGGCTCCGGGTTCCAGTCCAAGAACCAGTACCTGTACGGCCGCTTCGACATGCAGATGAAGCTCGTCCCCGGCGACTCCGCCGGCACCGTCGCCACTTTCTACGTACGTTTCCTTGCACGACCGCACGTGGACGTACGTGTTGACTGACATCATGCACGGGGAGTACTGTACTGATTCGAGTCCATACTCCATACTTCTATTGCAGGTGTCGTCGCAGGGGTCGGCGCACGACGAGATCGACTTCGAGTTCCTGGGGAACGCGAGCGGGCAGCCCTACACGGTGCACACCAACGTGTACAGCCAGGGCAAGGGCGGGCGGGAGCAGCAGTTCCGCATGTGGTTCGACCCCACCGCCGACTTCCACACCTACTCCGTCGTCTGGAACCCCACGCACATCCTGTACGTAGCATGCCGACGGCATCATCAGTCTCTCTCTTCTACCTCTTCTCCTCGACGCAGGACAAGGAGATCTCATGCATGCACGCAGGTTCTACGTGGACGGGACGCCGATCCGGGAGCACCGGAACCGGGAGGCGGCGACGGGGGTGGCGTACCCGCGGAGCCAGGCGATGCGGGTGTACGCCAGCGTGTGGGACGCGGAGGAGTGGGCGACGCAGGGCGGGCGGGTGAGGACGGACTGGTCGCGGGCGCCCTTCGTGGCGTCGTACAAGGGCTTCGCCGCGAGCGGGTGCGCGTCGCAGGACGCGGCGGCGTGCGCCAGGTCCAACGGCGCGTGGATGTACCAGGAGCTGGACGCCACCGCGCTGGACCGACTCCAGTGGGTGCAGAAGAACTACATGATCTACAACTACTGCACGGACACCTCGAGGTTCAAGGACGGCGCTCCGCCCGAGTGCGCCACCAAGTAGAGTGTTCTATCTCGAGGCGACGTTCCCAGGATAGGCCACGTTCCCGGGTTTTTTTTGGGGGTAGATTGGGTATATAATTTGTGTACACCTACGTATGGACGTAATTGTAACCATGCAGGTATATAAACGATATACTCCCTCCGTCTCAAAATAAGTGACTCGACTTTGTACTAGTTTGTATAAAGTTAAGTCATTTATTTTGAAACGGAGGGAGTAATAAATTCAGCTTATACAATATATCAATATTTATCTATTTATCTAGGCGGGGCATATACTTATATTGTTAATTAGCTTTTGGCTAATTGTCGGGTGCATGCAAATTTGATAAATCATACTACTAAACTAATAAAACCTTCTTTTTCCAAGAACACAACTTTATTGACAACTAAGGATAAAGGGGATCCGCTAAAAAAAAGATAATAGCGGATAATAGGTACAATCTTGAGCAACATATTTCTCTGTACAACTTGGCTGAGTAATAAAACCGACAAATAGCACAAGGCCAATGCTAGGCACCGGGTAAGAGCAACTCTAGCAGACTCCGTAAAACGCCAGCCCGCATAAGGCTTTTGCAGTTCGCGGAAAATGGTGTATGCGGGCCGGCGCGGGTGAGGTCAGACTCAGATCCCGCAAAACGGACCTGTCGGCGTGCCTTGCTGCCCTTACTGTCCAGAGGTAGGAGTGCCTTGCTGCCCTTACTGTCACCGGAAAAGGACACCGCAAGACTGAACCCAAAGCTAAGCACTTCTCCCATTGCAAGAAAGATCAATCTAGTATGCCAAACCAAACTGATAATTCGAAGAGACTTGCAAAGATAACCAATCATACATAAAAGAATCCAGAGAAGATTCAAATATTGTTCATAGATAGACTTGATCATAAACCCACAATTCATCGGTCTCAACAAACACACCGCAAAAAGAAGATTACATTGAATAGATCTCCACAAGAGAGGGGGAGAACATTGTATTGACATCCAAAAAAAGAGAAGAAGCCATCTAGCTACTAACTATGGACCCCTAGGTCTGAAGTAAACTACTCACACTTCATCGGAGAAGCTATGGTGTTGATGTAGAAGCCCTCTGTGATCGATGCCCCCTCCGGCGGAGCTCCGAAACAGGCCCCAAGATGAGATCTCGTGGATACAGAAAGTTACAGCGGTGGAATTAGGGTTTTGGCTCCTGTTCTGATCGTTTGGGGGTACGTGGGTATATATAGGAGGAAGAAGTACGTCGGTGGAGCAACTGGAGGCCCACGAGGGTGGAGGGTGCGCCTGGGGGGGGCAGGCGCACCCCCTACCTCGTGGCCTCCTGTTAGTTGGCTTGACGCAGGGTCCAAGTCTCCTGAGTTGTATTCGGTGAGAAAATCACATTCCCGAAGGTTTCATTCCGTTTGGACTCCGTTTGATATTCCTTTTCTTTGAAACCCTAAAACAGGCAAAAAATAGCAATTCTGGGCTGGGCCTCCAGTTAATAGGTTAGTCCCAAAAATAATATAAAAGTGGATAATAAAGCCCAATAATGTCCAAAACAGTAGATAATATAGCATGGAGCAATCAAAAATTATAGATACGTTGGAGACGTATCAATCATCCCAAGCTTAATTCCTGCTCGTCCTCGAGTAGGTAAATGATAAAAACAGAATTTTTAATGCGGAGTGCTACTTGGCATAATTTTAATGTAATTCTTCTTAGTTGTGGTATGAATATTCAGATCCGAAAGATTCAAGACAAAAGTTCATATTGACATAAAAATGATAATACTTCAAGCATACTAACTAAGCAATTATGTCTTCTCAAAATAACATGGCCAAAGAAAGTTCATCCCTACAAAATCATATGGTTTAGTCATGTTTCATTTTCGTCACACAAGAATGATGTCATCATGCACAACCCCGATGACAAGCCAAGCAATTGTTTCATACTTTAGTAATCTCAAACCTATAAACTTTCACGCAATATATGAGCGCGAGCCATGGACATAGCACTATAGGTGGAATAGAATATAATGAGGTGGGTTATGTGGAGAAGACAAAAAAGGAGAAAGTCTCATATCAACGAGGCTAATCAATGGGCTATGGAGATGCCCACCGATTGATGTTAATGCAAGGAGTAGGGATTGCCATGCAACGGATGCACTAGAGCTATAAATGTATGCAAGCTCAACAAAAGAAACTAGTGGGTGTGCATCCAACTTGCTTGCTCACGAAGACCTAGGGCACTTGAGGAGGCCCATTGTTGGAATATACAAGCCATGTTCTATAATGAAAAATTCCCACTAGTATATGAAAGTGATAACATGAGAGACTCTCTACTATGAAGATCATGGTGCTACTTTGAAGCACAAGTGTGGCAAAAGATAGTAACATTGTCCCTTCTCTCTTTTTCTCTCATTTTCTCTTTTTTTGGGCCTTCTCTCTTTTTTTATTACCTTTCTCTTTTTTTATATTCCTCACTTGTGACAATGCTCTAGAAAATGATGATCATCACACTTCTATTTATTTACAACTCAATGATTACAACTCGATACCAGAACAAAGATGACTCTATATGAATGCCTCCGGCGGTGTACCGGGATATGCAATGAACCAAGAGTGACATGTATGCAAGAATTATGAACAGTGGCTTTGCCACAAATACTATGTCAACTACATGATCATGCTAAGCAATATGACAATGATGAATGTGTCATGATGAATGGAATGATAGAAAGTTGCATGGCAATATATCTCGGAATGGCTATGGAAATGCCATAATAGGTAGGTATGGTGGCTGTTTTGAGGAAAATATAAGGAGGTTTATGTGTGAAAGAGTGTATCATATCATGGGGTTTGGATGCACCGGCGAATTTTGCGCCAACTCTCAATGTGAGAAAGGGCAATCCACAGTACCGAAGAGGCTAGCAAGGATGGAAGGGTGAGAGTGCGTATAATCCATGGAGTCAACATTAGTCATAAAGAACTCACATACTTATTGCAAAAATCTACAAGTCATCAAAAACCTCGGTACTACACGCATGCTCCTAGGGGGATAGATTGGTAGGAAAAGACCATCGCTCGTCCCCGACCGCCACTCATAAGGAAGACAATCAAATAACACCTCATGTTTCAAATTTGTTGCATAACGTTTACCATACGTGCATGATACGGGACTTGCAAACCTCAACACAAGTATTTCTCAATTTCACAACTACTCAACTAGCACGACTTTGATATTATTACCTCCATGTCTCAAAACAATCATCAAGCATCAAACTTCTCTTAGTATTCAACACACTCATAAGAAAGTTCTATTATTAATCTTGCATACCAAGCTTATTAGGATTTTAAGAAAATTACCATGCTATTGAGACTCTCAAAATAATCTAGGTGAATCATGAGAGATCAATAGTTTCTATAAAACAAATCCACCACCATGCTCTAAAAGATATAAGTGAAGCAATAAAGCAAAATTATATAACTCAAAAGATATAAGCGAAGCACATAGAGTATTCTAACAAATTCCAAATCATGTATGGCTCTCTAAAAAGGTGTGTACAGCAAGGATGATTGTGGTAGACTAAAAATCAAAGACTCAAATAATACAATAAGCTCCAAGTAAAACACATATCATGTGGCGAATAAAAATATAGCTCCAAGTAAAGTTACCGATAGAAGTAGAAGAAAGAGGGGATGCCTTCCGGGGCATCCCCAAGCTTTGGCTTTTAGGTGTCCTTAGATTATCTTGGGTGTGACATGGGCATCCCCAAGCTTAGGCTCTTGCCACTCCTTGTTCCATAATCCATCAAATCTTTACCCAAAACTTGAAAACTTCACAACACAAAACTTAAAGTACAAAATCTCGTGAGCTCCGTTAGCGAAAGAAAATAAAAGACCACTTCAAGGTACTGTAATAAACTCATTATTTATTTATATGGGTGTTATACCTACTGTATTCCAACTTCTCTATGGTTCATAAACTAATTTACTAGCCATAGATTCATCAAAATAAGCAAACAACATACGCAAAACAGAATCTGTCAAAAACATAACAGTCTGTAGTAATTTGTAGCTAGTGCAAGATCTGGAACCCCAAAAATTCTAAAATAAATTTCTGGACGTGAGGAATTTATCTATTAATCATCTGCAAAAATAATTAACTAAATATCACTTTCCAAATAAAAATTACAGCAGTTCTCGTGAGCGCTAAAGTTTCTGTTTTTTTACAGCAAGTCCAACAAGACTTTCCCCAAGTCTTCCCAATGGTTCTACTTGGCACAAATACTAATTAAACATGAAAAACACAACCAAAACAGAGACTAGATAATTTCTTTATTACTAAACAGGAGAAAAAAAAGCAAGGAATAAAAATAAAATTGGGTTGCCTCCCAACAAGCGCTATCGTTTAACGCCCCTAGCTAGGCATTGATAATTTTAATGATGCTCACATGAGAGACAAGAATTGAAGCACAAAGAAAGCATCATAAAACATGTGACAAACACTTCTGAGTCTAACATACTTCCTATGCATAGGCATCTTATAGACAAACAAATTATCATGGAAAGCAAAAACTAGCATATGCATGGAAGAGGAAAGAAACAATAGTAATCTCAACATAACGAGAGGTAATTTAGTAACATGGAAATTTCTACCACCATATTTTCCTCTCTCATAATAATTGCATGTAGGATCATAGGCAAATTCAACAATACAGCTATCATAAAACATATTCTTAACAAGATCCACATGTATGCAAAGTTGAAACTCTTCCAAAATAGTGGGATTAACATTAACTAAAGTCATGACCTCTCCAAACCCACTTTCAATAATATTGCAAACACTATTATCAATCTCATATTCATCATGGGGCTTAAATAAATTTTCAAGATCAAAAGTAGAATCACCCCAATCATGATCATTGCAACAAATAGTAGTCATAGCAAAACTAGCATCCCCAAGCTTAGGGTTTTGCGTACCATTAACACAATTGACATTAAGAGAATTTATAATAACATCATTGCAA